TGCCTGATGATGTTTTGGCTGGAACCTACTTCCGATCGATTTCTTGTTTCGTGCCAGTATCCCCCCTTGTTCTTATCGGGTTTTGTTGTATAAGCGGTTTAAAATTCTGATTTTGCGGATAAACATTTTGACAACTATATGGCAATAGACTCACCGAGTACTTGTCAGGGTTAAAAATGAATAAAAATAGTAGCCTTATCGCTATTGGGAACCTTGTGAGGTCTTGACTGCGTCCTTCAGATGAAGAACGGTACGTGAGGGTAAGGGTTATCGGCTGGGGCTGCAAGGGTTCCGTACTGACCATGCTGCACAAAGTGTTTCTGGCTTTTAAGCTTAAAAGCCAACTGTCCTTTTGTAAGTATGGGTTTTGCTTTCATTGTGATATTCGGCCCACTTAAAAGGAAAAAAATATTTTATAAATATTATTTGAGAAAACATGAGCGCTCTTTATTCGCAAGTCACGTATTGATAAAAGGCCAAAAAACATAAATTGGAATATTTCAACCATTTCCGTGTTAATTGTGATTGGACTTGACCTAGATGTACTTATTTGGCATCTTTAGACTAAAAATATACTGTACCATGGTCGACATTCTTCTCATAGCTTGCATTTGAACGCTAGCTTATTTTTGGTACTTTTAAAGTGCTGTTCAAAAAATGACAGATTACTGGCAAAGTTCTCAAAAAATTCCGACTACCGGGCCATTACTAACAGTTTGCTTCCTCATTTCTCTATAATCACTGTTTAATGGCTTTTCGGTCATGGCTAGACACTACTTTAAATCAGTCAGGCTAAACAGTAAGTTCTACAGATAACTTGGTGTTTTGCAAAGTTAATCCAGGGACAATTAAGATGTTTTCATTCTGTTTTTTTTTTTGATCGTATTAACTTGTTAATCTGCATAACGATATTAAGTAATAAATATTGCTTTAATCGTTTAAGTAGTAGTTATTGTTATTATTACTATAATTGTTATTGTTATATCATTACCAAGTTATTTTTGGTGTTACCATTAATTGCAGTGAGGCCTAAGCCAAACGTCGAACTTTTCATGCCGAACCAAATCCCAGTTTGGGTTGACCTAAATTAAGTTAAGATCGTGTGCTGGGTTAGAGTCGAAGTTAAGACGCTTCGAACCAATATACTGAATTAAACCGAAAAGCAAAGTGCAGGGGACGTAGTCTTGCGTGGTGGTCTATCATTCATGGGGGTAGGGACTGTTACGGGCCCTCGGAAACTGGCGCTACACGCTGTTGCAGTGATCCTGCCAAGAATTGGCGAACGCAGGAGCTCATGACCATGGGTCATAGGCCCCTGGCGAACGTGAGTAAATTTTACATTTTGAGCTTTTTATGTTTACTTTATTACCTGCCCCACTATAAAGAGTTGATAGTCGAAAAGAAAAATGAATAGATAAAAAATAAAACAAAAGTATCAGAAGCCCATTTGGCTCCTTCAGGTATATTTTGTTTCTCGATTGGTGTTAAATGTTCAGAAACTTATGGGTTAAATCATATTTTAATTGCTCATTATATTGTTGTTGTAATCCGCAGAACTAACGGGAGAAACCCTTATGCTGAAAACTTACTTTCATAATTGCCACTCACGGTTAACTCTAACTTCTAGGTTTAGCCAGTTGCTGATATCAGGTCCACCAGTATAAAGAAAACAGAGTGACAAAATTACTGCAGATAAGGCTGATAAAAACTGGTCAATATTGATTATCAAGGGCTCATTATGCTAGGAGAAATAGATTCACAAGAAAAAAGAGCACTTTACTGCCTAGCATGTATTTAGCATAAAATGATTAATCAGTAGGGACACTATATTTTTACCTCTCCTACTGGCCGATGGGACCGGGACCGCCATTTTACGTGGTCATCTGAGTCAAGCGGAGGTCTCCGCGCCGTTTGCGGGGTAAAGGCGGTACCCTCATTTCTCAATTATTTTTAGACCCTGAGTATTGGTGCGGCCCTGGCGAATCCACAAACTCGCCACCTCCCACTCCACAGTCCAACGCTCTACCGACTGAGTTAATCCTGCCGAAGTTCTTCAAGATAGACCAGAGTGACACTAGACTCAGTCACATTCGGATAATTCAAATAAATATAACAGCTGCGACTATTGCTACACTTTTGTTTGATTACTTTTACTTCCTTAAGTGCTTAGTTTGCAGTTGACTTATAGTCTTACACAGAAACTGTGCCCGTTATTTTTTTGTTATAAATTCAACAAGTTAAGGACTCAGATGTTAGCAATCTCACAGGTTAGTCTTTGTAAAAATTTTTCTTTCAATGAGCTCGGTTTCGGTCTTAATCAGATATGATATTGGATGAGAGGCGCGAAATGCACACGAATTGTTGAGTCAGAATTTACGGAAATTTAAAGACTTGTTTTACCTTCAAAACTATTTGTCACCTTTTTCAAAGGTTTTTGCCAACTTAATTTTCCCGGCCCCAGACACGGAACAATATATCTCCCTTCCTATGTGATTGTGGGTCCTTGAATACAAATTTATTTGTCGGAAAAAAAAAAGACGCAACAACCTGTCTTGAAATATTAGTCATTGAGTTTTCTCCAGACAACCACATCCCATGACCGCAGGGGCAAATTGTTAGAGAACTTCGTTTAAGCTTACAGCTTACAAGAAAACCAAATAGCTTCCTTCTAAGGAAACTGAGGTAAGAAATGAATGCCAGATTTAACAAAAACTGCTTAAGCCACAGGCTGCAGTGAAGCTGAGATGTGTGGAGTTTTTATCCGTTGACGAAGGTCAGTTCCTAACCCGAATTTCATCGTATAAAGTATTTACTGGGCCGTAGTTTAATCGTATAATTTCATTAACTTGTAGGGTAGATCAAAATACATTACACTGAAATATAGTTATGCATAAAAACTATATTCGATACAAGGCTAAGACCAAGGAATTAATTTATGACGTAAAATATATCTGACATATTTTTCGAAAATATTAATTTTGAAATGCACGAAATCACTTTCTCAGCTGTACCGTAATGTAGAGGCATTTGAACTATCGAATTTAAAATAAAGTTTTTAAAAATACTTCTTGGCAGTAAGTCGTGTTTTTATTTCCTGAAAATTAAGATCAGTAACTCTATTATTTTAGTTAACTAAGTGAGTCAAAAACTGGGAAGCACTTAATTACTGTTTGATTGTCGCCAAATATCATATTTTGGAAATAAGTGCACGATATTCTCCTCATCATATCCCTTAAAACAAACTTTTTTCCTTCGCTCCATTGTCAAAGTATCTAAACGTTTTGCATTAATTTTTTGTGATACAGCTGTAGTCATGTAATTTTCATCAAAATCCGATAAGAAAAAGGTTAACTGTTCCAAAGAACTGCCTCATGAAAGGCTGAGTTTGCCCTCTCGATCAGAAATTTACTATAATTGCATCTGGGGACCCGACAACGTAAAGAGTAAGAAATGTCTCTTTCAGAAACATTTTTTGAGTAATCACGAGTGGTAATTCGACTCTAGCATTTAGTGGCATACAGTTACCTCCAATGATTTTCGCCAATTGAAGGCGTCTGGATAGTATGTGTCAGTATGACACTCGAAAACAAGCAGGCAATAAACGGGAATTAGTCAACACAAGATCTCGCACGATTCGCGGTTTAAGACATATTCCAGGATCGCTGGTAATCCGAGCCGAATTAACCCCTTGTCTGCCTGACACTATTATCAATGCTAGATTTGCTGTCAGTTTATATTTATAGAAATAAAAGAAGCCGATGAAACCCAGGAAACGTTATCGACAAAAATCTGTGAACAGAAAACGTTGCAAGACCGGAAATATTCACGCTGTGTGAGTTCCAAAAAGTCTTTTTCAGCGAAAGTTTAAATCGAAATTTTAAAGTAGATGAGCAAGAATTAACTTCTGAATTACGATACAGTGACGTGAATACAATACATCAAAGCTAGAGATATGGACAAAAATTGCCCAGGTTTTGGCGCAATTCGAAATTGTCCTCAAGGTTTTTATAATGCAATTAGCAGTAGTATCAAGTGGTCTCAAGAGTCTTATTTCAAACAACATCCGGTCTTAAAATGACCTCTTGAAAATAAACTAAATTTGTTTCTCTAGCGCATTAGCCAGACTATTCAATTTGCCAATGTCTAGGATATTGACTCGGTATAAGTTTGCTCCATTGTTTTGAACGTATCTGTCAAAAGTGCTAGGTGAGTACGTGACGCCTAAGTTTCTCTTTTCCTTTTTCTTCAACCGTGAATAAATAATTCCAGATGACGAGGAAATTGCGCGTTTCATCGGCGGTTTCTTTGTGGTACTTTGAGAATTTGCAACTGTGGAGAGAATTCCTCCTCGCGCCACTGTTCTGTGTTTATCACAGGTCACAGTGTTGCAAGGCGGTTTAAGACCTCGATTTGTTTGAAAATGTAGCATTTCGTTGTAAGACTTTTGAGAGGAAAGAATGATGCAAATTAAAATTCCAGCTTAATTAGCTGTGTAGAGTTCAGTGCGGCAGAGAGGGGTGAACCCCACAGAAAAACAGCAAGGGTAAATAAACATCGCTAATGGATTGCCTTTTACATAAACAACCCTCAATATTTGCAGAAAAGCGACAAATAAAACATTAGAACTCGTTTCGAAACAATTATCCCGAACGAAAATAGGGACTTGTTCACGGGTGCCCTCGAACTCAAGAGGAGCTCCCAAAAGGTCCTAAAAGAATGCGATGGGGAAAATGGCGGCGGTCGTGAATCAATTTCCGAGCTTTCAGGACAGATCACTCCCCCAATCTGCTAAACGTTAGCGCCGAAACCATGACGTGTTGTGATTTTCCGACGGTAAAATGCCGCTTTTTGATAGACATCTTAGAGTAGAGTTCCAAACTTCAAAGACAGCGACACAAAATGGTGAAGTGTATCTTTTACGGTGTTGATGGACACCCACTGAGGGTGGCTTATTTAAGAGGGACGCCGCCGACAAATGCAACGTAAATCAAATTGTTAGTAGGAGCCAATACAAATATGTACGATTTCTATTCCACGAATTTCGCCGCGTATCAGCCGCCATCTTACCCCAACGCGTACGTTTACGGCGGTCCTGACATGAACGCACCGTGTAACTACCGCTTCTCAAACTATGGATACCACACTGGTCCAAGCTATCAAGCGCAGTACGAGCGTGTCCCGATCCCAAATCCAGTCGCGAGTCATGCCCATGCACAGAGCATGAAAATGGTTGCCGATAGCACGCCCTCAAAGGGAGAGATTTTAACGACAACTCTTCGTCATTTTCCTCCCACTCCGCCGCCTATTATGAACTCCATTAGCGGCTGTATCGATGGGCCTTTAAGAAAAACATGCAACGTGGATAAACTTCTTGAGGAACTCAGCGATGAAGGTACAGTGACAATGATTGTTTTTAGATTGAATACGCAAACTGAATTAGGATTATAGTTTCCTATATCTTTTCTAAATGTTGTTTTATACTCGACCTTGTGAACTGTTCATTGTGCACTTAGTTTTGTGCACTTAGTATTAGCTTTCTATTTTTCTATCAAACAAGAGAACAGTGTGGGATGTCCATGAAATGTTTTGTACGCGCGTCTCTCAAGATTTCCAAATGTTATTGTCAACGCGTTAGTTTTGGATGCATAAACAACTATGAAACTGACTTTGCTTCTCTCCTGTAAATTCCTACTGAAACACTGATTTAGTGAATTTAGTTGTAATTAAATTTATTGAAAACACTTTGTTCATCTTCTTTCTCACAGCTTCTTTAATTCTTTGTTATGTCGCCTTTCTCTGGGAAAGACGAAAAGGATCTTGACTCTGAATTCAGTATACTGTTTTAGTTCAATTTGTTTTAAACTAGTTAATTCAAATTTAATTGCCACTCACTTCACTATGATAGATAAATATACCGTCGTTATAAATGTGTGTGTGTGTCAGAGCTTACAGCGCTCTCAAATTCCAACCGAAAAAAGTGACCAAAATCAGAACGACCAAATATATAATCTGATGCAAACATAGAAGTTGCAAATTGCAATGTTTAACAGTGTCCGTGAAACTTAAGTTGCTAAAATCACTTAATATGACTTCATTACAGTCCNATTTATTGAAAACACTTTGTTCATCTTCTTTCTCACAGCTTCTTTAATTCTTTGTTATGTCGCCTTTCTCTGGGAAAGACGAAAAGGATCTTGACTCTGAATTCAGTATACTGTTTTAGTTCAATTTGTTTCAAACTAGTTAATTCAATTTTAATTGCCACTCACTTCACTATGATAGATAAATATACCGTCGTTACAAATGTGTGTGTCAGAGCTTACAGCACTCTCAAATTCCAACCGAAAAAAGTGATCAAAATTAGAACGACCAAATATATAATCTGATGCAAACATAGAAGTTGAAAATTGCAATGTTTAACAGTGTCCGTGAAACTTAAGTTGCTAAAATCACTTAATATGACTTCATTGCAGTCCTAGCCTTTTAAAAGACAGGTTTCTACGTAATTGACAATTGCAAGTCAGAGAGTTAAGAGCTTATCAAGCGCCAATATGCCTAGTCGTATTTCTTTCGCTGAACTTTCACTTCTCATGTAAAGGATATGAATGGACCCGACTTTTCGAAAATGCTATCATGGGTATCGCCATGAATAATTGAGACATTCGAGACATCTAGGTGCTACAGTACTTGTTCATGTCTATGAGAAGTAGGAGCGATAATCTGTGACTCGAACTATAAGGGTATAAACGCCCAATTTTAAAATTCAGAACAGACTTCGAAATACGGTAGCACCAATTATTTGTTCTTTATTAAAAGAAAAAAGGTGTCCCCAAGTCAGCAATTAGGATAGTGCAAATAGCAAAAAAAATATCTAATTTCTTTTTTTGAACTATTTTCTGACAAACCGACACGACCGTGCGAAACCAAGTCAGGACTACATTTTTCAATTCTTATAACTCACTGACCTTGTAGTCCGAGCATATTTTGGGATTATGTACGCGAAGAAGAGAAGACTGTATTGAGACATAATAAAACTTTCAAACATATTACACACTTAAATAACCATCTCGATTGTTTTTTGAGCATGTCGTTTCTTGCCTTCTCTACACGCTTTTATCACGAGAATATGGCTGCGTCCAGTAAGCTCAATCACGCGCCTTCTTATTCGTTTGAGTTCAGGTTAACGCTATGCTCATAAGAGTTTGCCTTTGCTTTTGTTCGGATCCCACACTGGTTTTTGTAATAAAGTAGATCCCCGATAATTCGAACTCCCAGCTAACTCGAACTAAGTCCCATTTCATTTCCCTTGCCAAGTTTCACCCCCCTTTTCAATCTGTTTCAATCATTTTTACTCGGATAACTCGAACTCGTATAACTCGAATTCCTCGCTAACTCGAACTAATTTTCCTTTCCCTTCATCAAAATTTAACTCGAATTCGCTGATGTCGTTTCCCCTTAATTGAGTTAGAATGTTATAAAAGCAGACAGGATGATTGACAACAATGAGTCCCTCTTGATCTCAGTCCAAAAGAATCTGCAATCATGGTAGATCTGCTTTTTATTGATAAACATTTTGCAAAAAAAATTGAGATACTCTTCAAGGAGTTGAGAGGGCGTCGGTACAAAATTTGCAAGACAAATATTTCCCTGCATGGACCAATATATTTTTTGCAAAATTTCGCCTAAGAAATTCCTTTTCATATTGCAAAGGATGACCGCTCCTAGGAGGTGAAGTACTTCTAAGTTTTGAGGCTGTGGACGAAATCCCTCCATACTACCATTCTCTTGAGCTCAGCACTTTTATATAACTATTTCTTCACGATTTTTTCACTGAGATTAGGATTTTTCCTATATTTTCACTTTGCTTTGTTTTAGAAAGGAAAAGGTCAGGTGCAGTGGATAAAAGGGTTTGAGAACACAAGCGCAAATAAGCCATTCTTGTTTAAAAGTGTGCGATATTACAAGGCTAAAAGTGGATTGCAGTTTATAAACCTTTTTTTTTCCCCAACGAATAGGCGTACACAGTATAGAATACCAGACGAGTTTTCCAAACCCTTCATAGTTTTTCGAAATTTCCTATTATTCAAACCAAACGACCTAACTTACCCTCACCAGTCAAACACTGTAATTTTGCGCTCATTTTTCACAGCCTTCGATAATTCGAACCATTTTGTTTTTCCTAGAATGGTTTGAAGTGCCACGGGGATTCCATTAATATAAGAAGTTTATAGGGGGTTTGGGTCAAAGCTTGACAGTTTCGCACAAAACGTCCCAATTTCCACACTGGGGAAACTCCCAAGGCTAAGAAAGCTGTATGTTTAGAATACAACTTACTTCGTTTCTGGCATAGTTTTATTACATTTTTTTTGCTTGTATCTCCTGAAGAAAGTTTCTGGCAATACTCTAAGATTAACATGATGTATCACTGAGTTGGAAAAAGGGGCATTTTAGGGAGTTCATACTAACGTTTGAAGTCTTGGTTTAAAATTTCTTTCATAAGTAATTCCTGAATTTTAAATTTCCTCAGACGAAAAGACAGAAGCAAGCAAAAACAAATCACGAAAAGAGAGAACGGTTTTCACCAAGTACCAACTTCATGAGCTTGAAAAAGAGTTTGAAAGAAACAACTACTTGACAAGACTAAGGCGATACGAAGTGGCGGTAAGCTTAGATTTAACCGAGAGGCAAGTTAAGGTGTGGTTTCAGAACAGGCGTATGAAGTGGAAAAGAGTTCGAGGCGGAGTGCCCCCAAGAAAGATAGGTGTCGTGGATCACATGGACTTAGCTGTTTGTTGAAGAGTTACAATTATTGCAGAACCAAATGTCTGATACCTAATTAGCAATTTCTTTCTTTTTTGATCTGCTATAGAGCCCGAACAGAACCATACATCGTTTTCATGGTTTCTTCACAAAAATGTTTCGTTTTTCTTTACCCAATAATCCCAAAATGGTTATTTAATTACAGATCCTAGCTTCTATAAAATCAAACTTTAGTACATGTGAATAAACGTTTTTTCTCAAGGAAACTTTAATGAGAGGAAGAGTTAGGGAGGGCGTTGGCCGAAGGGAATGAAATATGGCGATGCCTTTGTAAAGATAAATAATAATTACATTGAACCGTGGTAGGAAAACCATGGCCATTGAGAAGTTTCGAAATTTTTAGTCTTGTATTTGTTGTTATTGTTTGTTTTGTAAGTGAACTCTTCAAAGAAATTTAAAGAGTTTATGAGGAGGACCTTCTGAAAATGAAGGATTAACATCTAGGTTAGTTTGTATTCCACTCCATTATTTTACCAAAACCGTTCATTTTTGGCGTATCCATTTATTTCCATAACCACGCTGTTTAATCTTTTGTAAATATGGACCATCAGAAATAACCGTGCTCGTTTTGTTATGCAATAATATTACCACGAAAGGGTTAAGCCATTTATTGTTGAAGGTTTTTCGCGACACAATTTGGCTAATTTAATTAAGGTTTGTTCAGCAGTTTTTGCCCGTGGCGTACAAGCATCTGTCTCTTGTTAAATGGTATTTCCTGCTCAACGTTTCTAATATAATATCATGATCTTGGAAAGAAGCCAAATAAGATTCCTTACTTTTAGAACTATATCAATTAATTTATCACCGTAGTCGCACTTAACTTTTTAGGCGTGTCCTACATTCAAATGAAAGCACCTTTAAATAACACTTTTCCAAAAATATGTTTTATTTTATTTTGGTTTTTTTAAGAATGCAAGTTTTCACCCTGATACTTTGCAAACAATGCAAGAAAGGGTTAAAAATACGTTGAGGATCAGAAATTTTTAGGTCATAACCGTCTTCATTCATGAACGGAATTCACTCTCTTAAGATTCCTTGAGCAGTCCCTGTCCAAAGATATGGATCAAGGTTTTTCTAAATTAGAGGCTCAGTTATTTTTACTGATCACTATCTTCATTCATGTTAAAGACTAATTTTTCCGCTGCTGAAAATAGCCACAAATAGCCGGCAGCAACTTGACACGAAAGATATCATTTTTCATCAAGCATCCTCTCCCTCAGATAACTAGAACCTGGAAGAAAAATTTGAAATGGGAAATTCGCTCAGAGGATAGAGGAGCTCTAAAGCAGTTTTATGTTTCTTTAAACAAAATACTTTTTTTTGATACTTCAGCTAATTTTTTAACTCTATCAAAAAGTCCAAACTTTCTTTTTGTGGTCACCATCCATTCATTCAAATTACAAAGAACTGAATTAGTTTTACATAACCTTTAAGGATCTGTATCACGGCTGCCCAATTCATTTCTTTAATACTACCAGTTTTCTTATCCCCTACGGAAGTTTAAGTTAGCGAAGAAATTACTAGTAAATGATAAAATCACAGCTTCTTGTCCGTGCTTCCCAAGAAAGCGTTGCAAACAACAAAAATGAACTTTGAAAAACTGTTAGGCTAACAAGTTCAAAAACCCACAATTCCAATCCGTTTAAATCTTCTTCATGTTTATCCATCGGTGCCTCCTTTCGTATTTGCTATGTTTATACCTTTTTTAAATGTCTTATGCGGCTATTTTTTTGTTTCACTCGATTTGGTGGTAGTTCCTACTGTTTAAATTTTGATAATTTTTTTTTGACACAGCTCCTTCCTTAACGATCTTTAACTTCAGTTCACAACCCGGCATTAGGGCTAAACCCGGTTTCTCCCTGAGAAGTAGTTAAAGTCGGAATTCAACAAATTTCAAAATTCATTTAGTGAAATTAAAAAAAAAAATAGTACCATGTAGTACTATCAAAGAGCTTTCATTTGAGTGGTCACACCACAGGATTATAGCTGCAGACTCAAAAGTAAAAACCACCTTAGGCCTGTTTCAAACGTCGTGCTACTGCCGGGCGTGCTAAGCTAGCTCGACTGTAGCAAGCACAACACTTGATCACACTAGCACGACTTGGTTTCAGACGTCGAATTTAATTCAGTCGAATAGAACGGCTGTTGCCGAAAACAAAACACAAAATTAAAGAAACGGTTTAGCAAACTTTAAAATATATTCTAATGTAGTTATGATTTATGAATTGAGTTCGGCACGGCGGTAGCACGACGTTTGAAACCAAGTCGAGCTACTGTCGTGCTAAAGTCAAATTTAATTCGATCAATTGAGTTCGACACGGCAGTAGCACGACGTTTGAAACGGGCCTTTTACAAGACTACAGGTAGTAAATTAATGAGTTCAAACCTTGGATCGAACGCTTTTCATGTAAACTTCACATTTTGCAATGCTTGGTTATCTGACTTAATGTTTCGTTACGCAGAGGTTAATCAGGACACCAAATTATAATCAGTGATTGTTAGTAACAGTTTTGCACATAATATTTGGAGATCAGACGAGTCTCTTTATGTAAGCGCTATTTATTGTTTGTCTTAATTATTTACAAGAATGCTTTGAAAATGTATTTACCAAGACAGTACAAAATGATAAGAACTTCATGTAACCCAAATGATATCAGAGAAAATAAAAGAAAGCGTGCGAAAAGTCGTTATAAGAATCACCTGTAAAAATTACTGACCCGCTGGAAGTCCAACAGCCAAACCAAACCTCTTTAAGTGTTGATATATTTAGCACGAAAGTACTAATTGGGGGCACTATATTATTACGGCACCTACTGGATATGGGATCGCTATTTTACGTGGTCATCTAGATCTGAGCCACACGCAGGTCTAGTCGACCCTCACTTCTCAGTTATTTCAAGACCTTGAGTGTTGGTCCGGCCCCTGGAATCGAACCCGCGACCTCGCGCTTTTCAGTCAAGCACTCTATCGACTGAGTTAAGCCTGTCGCGGTAAGCGTTGATTCCACTGAGGGGATGTGGACGAAAAATACTTGATGAGTGAAGCCGTTACCTACTCGCTAAGAAGACGTTTAGATAACCTGATGCCTTGGCACGCAAGCAGAAGTTATTCCCTTTAAGCCCCAATGTCCACGTACAATTCTCCGGACTAAGTTTCATACACTTGCTTAAATAATAAGTTGAAGGAATTTGTTACAAGATTAAAACATTCCCCTTAATGATCGCTTTATTAATTCTCATGGCTTCTTCTCTTCATTTATGAGAAAAATGTTGTTGGTCACTCTCAAGAATTCTCTCTGGTCACTCTTGAGAGGCTTAAAAGGGTTCAGGGATATATATCGGCACTCTCGCAGCTAATCCCGGGCCCGGTAGGGAGGGGGGGGGGAGACTCCCACATAAAAGTCACGGAGATGCTCCTCGTCTCGCTTAGGGGGATCANCATATAAAAGTCACGGAGATGCACCTCGTCTCGCTTAAGGGGATCAATTGCAGATTTTGTTCATAGGGTCTATTGTTTGGGGGACGGAAAGCCACTCTATTTGCCTATGTAGGTATCAACATTACACGAAAAAAAATGCTGTGACACTGACCACACAAAAATTTTCTTTAGCGGTTAGTTTAAGCTTGTACCACACCCACATTGGTCTCCTTTATGGGTTTAATCTAGGGTTTAATGTCAATTTTCTGACGAGCATCCCCGTGACTTTGGTGTATGGGTTAAGTATCGTGAATCGCACAACGCTTTCCTCCGGGGGCGCCTACTGAGAGGAGTAAAGGCAATAAAAAATTATTTAACTATTTGTTAAAATCAATCGTTTTTTATGAAGGATTCCTGAAATACAATTGGGTTTCCACCGTTCAGTAAACCCATACTATAAGTATTAAGTTGACAACCTCAAAAACCATTTCAACAAATTTTCACTAACTTGCGTAATGCCTTGATTGTTCGTTGCTGTAATTTGCATCTTTCAATTAATTCTCCTTTCAAAAGGGGCAAATTATAAGAGCCAAAAAAGAAAACACCTTGTTAGCAACAGTTGCTTAATTTAACTGACCCTTGCCCCTGCGATATAACAAAAAGACAGATGGTCAGCGTCTTTACGGTTGTCAATAAGATAATCTTAAGAGAATCGATTGCTTACATGTTTGGCTGGTGACGGAAAACAGTTGAGATATTTCTGGTTTTCGTGTGTGATTATAGTTTGGACCACCAGCTTCGTAACACATGGTTTGGACGGAAAAATACTGTTGTTATCTTTAAAATGAATAAATTTGACAAGAACGCCTACTCCGTAAAACGACTCGGTCAGGCTGGCTCCACCCTAAGCTGTAAAGGCCGCCGATCATGGCATGGCACGCGCACGTGCGTTTCCTGAATTACCTGAAAGCTCCTGAAGGACTTCAATTTCAATCAAGACTCAATATATTCAGTAAAACTCCTCAAAAGGCATCTGTGACACGCATTTGATGAATCTTATAATAGAGTTAGGGGTTGTATGTAGTTTGGTCTTTCTGGAGCAACAGATCGACTTAGAGAACATTAACTACGATAAATTCCTTTACCCGGTTAAGAAGACAAAGGCCAAAAATCGATCCATCAACAGCTCGCTCCCGTGTCTGAGGCCACATTAGCCTGGGACCAGGCTCCGCATTGGGGGAAAAGGGGGAAATCGGCGTGCGCGGAAAAAAAAATGGGCGAGCGCAGCAAGCCGAGCGGTAGTCTGGGGGGAGAAAGGGTGGTGGAGGCTCCGCCGCCCGTTTCCCCTCCCCAGACCACCGCTCGGCTCGTGTCGCTCGCCGATATTTTTCCCATTTTACCCCGTTTTTGCCTTTTTCCCCCACGACGGAGCCTGGTCCCAGGCTAAGGCCATATAGAAAAGTGCACCCTACCCTACATTCCCCCGGGGAGAACGCAAAATTGGAATTAAAACTTGGGATATCGTCGTCATACCGTTCACTCCTTTCAATTCAACAAAA